TTCAGGTTTAGTAAGCGTACTAAACCCTAAAAGGGTTTTTTACTAAACTTTTGAAGCGGTAGCGTGTCATTGCATTTTGCTAAACCCCTTTTGGGTTTAGTAAACGACGCTTTTTTTTTAGAGTGTACTTCTTGGTGGTTTTGATGATGTCGATTCAATATATTATTCTAGTCGCTCTTTCTAATGCTATCATTGGTTTTGATTAATTTTGCACTTCAATCTCTTACTTGAGCGGTAACACTTAGCTGACCAAGCCGTTATTTAAAAGTGATCGAATTTTGTATTAGTCCCTACTGAGAAGTGTAAACGAGTCGTGTTCTTCTATGTGTTTTCTGAAAAAGTCCGATTTTCATCCAGTCACATTACGACTCCTCGAAAAAATGATCTGATCGAGCTGGAATACGACAGATACATCAGGTCCTATCACATGTTCTAAATTTTTCTTTTCGAAAAATATATTTTCCTTCTCGAGATATTCGAAAAATGCTGAGAATCCGGGATAAAAAAAATCAGTTTTTAATTCTAAAAATCTTCTCACGCGGAATGTTGAAGTCGAAAATGCTTAAAAATTATTTAGAATGTCAGATAGGACCTGATGTATCTGCGGCACATATCTCAGCTCGATCGAACCATTTTTCGATAGGTTGTAATGTGACTGGATTATTGAAGGGACTATTGAAAAAACACAAAACAATATTAAAGTGCAGTTTTTTCCTTGAAGATATATATTATAGGTGTGTATTTAGTGTACCTGTCTATGTGTATCGATCATTCTCTATTTGATGAATATGAGCAGGAGCATGTGCCACATATATAGAGATATGTGGCTTTCAACCTAGTCTAATGAGAGACCACTTTCAAGTGCCCGCTTGCTTATTGTCCAAAATATATAGCTGATTATAAAACAATGAAAAATTAGCAGAAATTAGTATCATATCATTGTCATTCAAACTGATTCTTATAACATAAAGAAAAGGGTTATTGTCTCTAGCGTTTTTTGTTATCTGGCAGTATACTGCTCTCAACGAAAAAAAAGGTACCGTACGGAACTTAAAAAGGGTTTCGAGAATTGAAATCATTTCTAAACTTTTTTTAGGTTCTGTACGAACAAGGTTTCATACCTTTTTCCCCTGCTTTCAAAAAAGGTTCCGTAGAGGTTTTTCCATACTGATTCTACTTATGGATTTTATATAGTTTATTTTTGTATATTTGTCTTAGATTTATTTATTTCTACTGCCTAGCAACAAAAACAACCGAAAAAATGAAAGTATTACCAAAGAAAACCCACTTATGCACAAAACTTGTCGTTTGAGAATAAACTCATGTTCTAATAAAAATACGCGTAAATATTAGGAGTACATCTGTTCTTTTTGTATTTTTCAAAAATTCATAATAAATGGTTTGTATTTTCTTAAAAACGAGTTGCAACATATTTTAAAACGTCAGTTTTGTAGAGAAAACATTTCTCTACAAGATAGATTTTAGAAGTTTTTTGTTTCCTTTTAGAAAGCGTTTTCCTCAAACCTACTATCGGTTATAACCGTGGTTTTTAACCGATACGCCTCTCTATCAAAAACGCTTTTAAAGAAGTCAAGAAACTTTTAAACTAACTACTATGCACCATCTTGTAGAGAAATGTTTTCTCTACAAAACTGCCGTTTTAAAAAAGTGTTGCAACTCGTTTTTACGAAAGTATAACCCATTTATTGTGAATTTTTGAAAAATACGAAAAAAACCCGATGCACTCCTGGTAAATATGGATTGTCTAAACAGAGTAAAAGAAAATATTGTCCAAAAATTGGCTGACTTCGCATACTGTAAAAACATACCACCTTACCGAAGGTACAAAAAGAGAGAGGGCAAAAAAAGATCAGTCAGTTTTAACTGCTAACAAAAAAAAAGTCATCTACGGATAATAAAACTTACAGAATATAGTATACTTCCAGTTCCCTTGGGGTCTTCAGAGAATATCCAGAAAACTTTCTAGCTTTAATTACATTTGGCGCCAAGGAATCAGAGTAGTTCACAACATTTCTCAGCTAAGCGCTCTCTCATATGAGAGTAACACAGAGAGAGGTATAGTACCAAACATTTTCTACTACTATATCTTCAATAGGTGTGTTATGGAACCTGTTCGAATACGAAACCTTGAAGAGTATGATAAAAAATCTTGAAGGCTATCATACGAAACCTCTTCAATTACTAAACCTTAATGAGGTTTCGCAGATACGTACCATACCTGATTGGTATGGAAAAGTTCCATGAAACCTTACAAGTTTGATACTATATCTTTTTTTTTCACAGTGCTGTGGACCGTAGTTTTGTGCTTATTAATCGGGTAGGTCGATATATATCTGCGATTAAGGTTTATCAGATATAGAAATTTCTTTTGATGTATATTATTTTTAGGTTTTTATCACCTGTCCTGTCACTCATACAATCATTAGAAAATCATCTAGGTATACTATTATTGTCCTGTTTGAGATAAAACAGGATTATTTTATCTGTTGTCGCTTACTCTACTTGAGCACGATGTAACTTAGAGTAGTTATTACTAGACACTTTATCTAACAACGCTTTACTCGATTTTTTACAGAGTCTATTGATGTAGCAAAGCTGAAGAACATTCAGCAATTATTAATGAAATGGTGAAAAGACTGATGACAACAGCATCCGCTAGTTCCATCTTTTCTGTACGAAAGAACTTTTTTTATGGATATCAAAAGTAGAGATGAGAAACCAAACATAGTCTCAGAGCCGAAAGTCAACTCTATACATTCCATGTATCATCTTCGTCAAATAATCTCTGCTGATTGACTGAGAAAGTTTATCTTGCTTTTGTAACTTCTGGCATTACTGTAGAACGCTAGAGGACAAAGATTGTAAAATCTTAATAACTATTTACTTTCATTTTGGTTTAGTGAGTCCGTATTTCTTCTATCAGCAGTAGTTGATTAAATTGATCATCCTATATCACTATAAATATAATTTTGACAGTTTTTAGGGTAAAGGTATGATGCCAAGTATTGATTGACTGATGCAAAGCCAGCTTATCTCAGTCCAGTTCACACAATGAATGATATCTTCTGAGTCGGGTCAAGAGACTATGTTTCAACAAACGACGTATTCGTCGAATACATCAGGAGTAGAAGCAAAAGAAACTAACACGGCTGAAAGAGTAACAGCTGGATTTGAAATATTAGAAGCGAAAACGTATAATTCCAAACTCAAGATCATCAGTCAAAATGCTGAAAACAATGCTGAGCGAGAAGAATCATCGGTATCAAAATCGTCAAAAAATGTTTTAATTTAAAATTAAATACGACACACCATCTGGCGAATGTCCACTTTCTAGAATGAAAACATCTACTTTCATGCTCTAAAAACCATTCAACTTTTACTTACATTAGTGTTGTAATGGTTGTAAACCACTATGATGTCTAAACCTTTCTCATTATATCTGGTGGCATCGTTACTATTCTTAGCGGGAAATTTACTATACGCTTGATCGGTCTTCTTAAGACTTTACTCACATTTGTCTAAGACCCTATGCAAATGTTATTAAGATCGTTAAATCTGAAAATGCTAAAATTTTCTATCTTACTAAGATAAAGGTTACTGGGCGTAAGATTTCACAAAGACTGAATGAGAATTAGCTAGGATTCTACTACGATTTCTGATGATATCCTCCTTCTGAAACGGAAAAAAGTCGACTTTCGAGTTAAACATTGTTTATAATAGTGCCAAGTGTTTTCTACACTTTCAGACCACTCGTGACAGAACTTTGAATCAGGAAATATCAATGTTTTAATATCTCACAGTTTATTCTAAAAAAGTCTAATTGTAAAGTTAGGAGACTTTTTTGATGAATCTAGTCAGCATCGGACTGCTATTTTCAACCATTTCGTATATAATACGATGTGCTCACATCTTACAAGATATCTGTCACCGACATGAATGTCCCCTACTGATGTTGTAGGTGCTATGAGGACATAATTTTATCTGCATTGCATTCACAAGTTAAACTGACATAAAAATTTATCTGAAAACAATGACTTAATACGCAGTTAGAAGACGAAGCTGTTTCTAACATGAAAATAATGCCCCACAAATGTATTATGAATTAGAATCTAGAATCAATGTATTTTTTTCGCATGTTTTTTGCTCCTCGCTAAATAGTCTTCGTCAGAATACAAATTTTCTTACCACACTGAAATTAAGCTATCAAGATGAAAAACCTCTTTATACTAGCAACATTATGTTTCATAGCAGTCTCAGGAAGACCATATGTTGCTCATTCGCATAGCAAGACTTCAGCCAAGAATGGTAATGCAGATCGGAAATTATTTTACACACCAAACAAGGTAGAGCAAGGTAAATCAGATGCAAACAAAAATTTTTATGAAACGCCAGAATCTCACGACGCTTCAGTTGGTTATTCGTCCGAAAACCGTAACGCTAAACCAGATGCAGAACAGTTGGATCGAAAGCGTTATTCCCAAACGAATAGACAACAGTCGGGTCTAGAAAATCATCCCGATATAGATGACAAGTCGTCGCATGGAAAACATTATCCCGATAAAGAAGAATCATCCGATCGCCAGAACTCCGACACAGATGAAGAATCGTCCGACGAACAACATTATCCACACTCGGATGAAAAACCATCCAGTCGAAAACATACCGATACGGATGAATCGTCGGATGCAAAACAACCCGCTGCATATGAAGATTCATCGGATCGACAACAATCCGATTCAGATGCAGAATCGTCGGACGGAAAACATCCTGGTACACATGAATCGTCAGACAAGAAGCATTCCGACACACATGAAGAATCGTCGGATGGAGAACATCCCCATACACGTGAAGAATCGTCCGATGGGAAACAGTATCCTGATACAACTGAAGAGTCGTCAGATCGAACACAACCCGATTCAGATGAACAATCGTCAGACGGAGAACATCCTGATACACATGAATCATCACATGCGAAGCACTCCAACACAGATGAAGAATCATCCGATGGGAAGCAAGCAGATAGAAATCAAGAACAGTTGGATCGAAACCATTATCCTGATACCAATAAAGAACAGTCAGGCCTAATAGGTCATCCTGCAGCTTATGAAAAATCGTCGCACGGAAAAGATTATTCAGATAGTGGTGTCGAATCGTCCGATCGAAAAGATTCCGATTCACATGCAGACTCGTCCGCCCCAAAACATTCCGATATACGTGCAGAATCATCGGATAGACAACTATCCAGTCCAAAACATTCCGATACCGATGAATCATCGGATGAAAAACCATACGGTCGAAAACATGCCGATACCGATGAATCATCGGATGAAAAACCATACGGTCGAAAACATGCCGATACCCATGAATCATCGGATGAAAAACCATACGGTCGAAAACATGCCGATACCGATGAATCATCGGATGAAAAACCATACGGTCGAAAACAGTCCAATAGCGATGAATCATCGGATGAAAAACCATACAGTCCAAAACATTCCGATACCGATGACTCATCGGATGAAAAACCATACAGTCGAAAACACGCCGATACCCATGAATCATCGGATGGAAAACCACACAATCCAAAACATTCCGATACCGATGAATCATCGGATGAAAAACCATACAATCGAAAACATGCCGATACCGATGAATCGTCTGATGAAAAACCATACGGTCAAAAACATGCCGATACCGATGAATCATCGGATGACAAACCTTACAGTCGAAAACATGGGGATACCGATGAATCATCGGATGAAAAACAACCCGCTGCATATGAAGATTCATCGGATCGACAACAATCCGATTCAGATGAACAATCGGACGGAAAATATCCTAATACACATGAATCATCACATGCCAAGCATTTCGACACAGATGAAGAATCATCCGATGGGAAACAATCAGATGGAGATCAAGAACAATTGGATCGAAACCATTATCCCGATACCAATAAAGAACAGTCAGGCCTACTAGGTCATCCTGCAGCTTATGAAAAATCGTCGGACGGAAAAGATTATTCAAATAGAGGTGTCGAATCATCGGATCGAAAAGATTTCGATTCACATGCAGACTCGTCCGCCCCAAAACATTCCGATATACGTGAAGAATCGTCGGATGGACAAGTATCCGGTCCAAAACATGCCGATACCGATGAATCATCGGATGAAAAACCATCCGGTGGAAAACATGGCGATACCGATGAATCGTCGGAGGGAAAACCATACGGTCGAAAACATGGCGATACCGATGAATCGTCGGAGGGAAAACCATACGGTCGAAAACATGGCGATACCGATGAATCGTCGGAGGGAAAACCATACAGTCGAAAACATGCCGATACCGATGAATCATCGGATGAAAAACCATACGGTCGAACACATGCCGATACCGATGACTCATCGGATGAAAAACCATACAGTCCAAAACATTCCGATACCGATGAATCATCAGATGAAAAACCATACGGTCGAAAACATGCCGATACCCATGAATCATCAGATGAAAAACCATACAGTCGAAAACATGCCGAAAACGAAAAATAATCAGATAAAA